ACATTGACACATCATAATCACCCAAAGTCCATGGTTTATATTAGGGTTCACTCTTAGTGTTGTTCATTCTATGGGTTTGAACAAATGTACAATGACATACGACCTTCATTAGAGTATCATACAGGGTATTTTCACTGCCCTGAAAACTTCTCTGCTCTGCCTACTCACCTCCCCCCCGACCAAACCCCTGGCAACCACTGATCTTTTTACTGTCTCCATTGTTTTGCCTTTTCCAGAATGCCTTGTACATACAAGTACAAGTATTTAGTGTTTAGGCTTTTCAGATTGGCTTCTTTCATTTACTAATATGCATTTAAGGTTCTTTTTTGTCTTTTCCTGGCTTGAGAGCTCATGATATATGTATACATTGTATGTGTAGACACTGTGAAATGATGGCTACAATCAAGCTAATTAAAATATCCATCACCTTACATAGGTACTATTTCCTTCCTTCCTTCTTTCCTTTCTTTTTGTGGTGAGAATGCTTTGGATCTACCCTCCTAGTGAATTTCAAGCGTACAATACAGTATCATTAACTATGGTCATCATGTTGCAAACAAGACCTCCAGAACTTACTCATTTTGCATAAATGAAGTGTCCAGCTTCTTTCTTTTGCATGTAGCTGTCCAATTGACTCTGTGCCATTTATTTGAAGAGATTATTCATTTCCCATTGAATGATCTTGGCACCCTTCTCAAAAATCAATTGGCCATATGGATTTTCATGCCAAGAGCCATGAGCTGTCTTGCTTCTTGGAGTTAAAGGTCATAGCAGAAGGGTATCACATCTGGCTGGCTCAGGCACTGTTGGATATTTTCCAGATGAGCAGAGGCCAAGGTGCAGGCCTCCTCCACAAAGTGGCACTGTCACTGCTCAGTAAATTTCCAGAGGCAGGATCAAATCCATGCACTGGCCCCATTCTGTATGCTTACTAGTATTTTCTCATGACCAGCAAACATGTTTCAGAAACAGAGATTGTGATGGATGGTATTCTTCCAACATTCCAAGACCAGCTAGAAAAAGGGGAAATGTTGTCAAATGAAACTGTAGATCTCACAGGAATTTTTTGATTTTTGATTCAATCTCTTTACTTTTTTTTTTTGCAGGGGAAGATTTACCTTATACTAACATCTGTGTCAATCTTCCTCCTTTTTTCTCCCCCTGCCTAAACCCCAGTAGATAGTTGTATATAGTTATAAGTTTTTCTAGTTCTTCTCTGTGAGCTGCCACCACAGCACAACTACTGACAGATCAGGAGTGTGGTTGTGCACCTGGGAACAGAATCCAGGCCAAGAAAGTGGAGCATGTCAAACTTTAACTGCCAGGCTATCAGGGCTGGCTCCAATCTCTTTACTTTTTATAGGTCTGTTCAGATTTTCTATTTCTTCTTATGTCAGTTTTGGTAATTTGTGTGTTTCTAGGAATTTTCCCAGTTTATCATCAACTTCTTATCAAGAAGTTGTTCATAGTATTCTATTTAATCTATTTTATTTCTGTAGTTCTGTAGTGATGTCTTCACTTTTACATCTAATTCCAGTTATTTTCATGTTTTCTCTCTTTTTTACAGTCTAGTTAAAGATGTATCAATTTTGTTGATCTTTTCAAACAACCAACTTTTGGTTTTGTCAATTCCACTGTTTTTCTATTTGCTATTTCATTTATCTCTGGTTTAATCTTTAATATTTCCTTTCTTCTGCTAGTTTTGTGTTTAGTTAACTCTTTTTTTTTCTAGTTCCTCATAGTGTAAAGTTAGGTGTTGATTTGGGATCTTTCATCTTTTTAAATTTTCAGCTATGACTTTCCCTCTGAGTGCTGCTTTCACTGCATCTGTAAGTTTCAGTATGTGGCATTTTCATTTTCATTTGTGGAGGAAGGTCAGGAGAAAGAGCATGGATTCATCTTAGGATATATTGAGTTGAGGTACCTGTGAGATATTAAAGTAGAAGTGCTGATTAAGGAAATGTATTTGTACTTGGAATTCAAGAAAAAGATATGGACTCCAGACTTAGATTTGGGAATAATTCACAAAGAATTAGAGGTCAGATAGGTAGGGAATAAGTAAACCCATGTGAATGGCTGAGAATTAGAAAGTATACACAAAAAGGGAAAGATCCCTCAAGAACACCAACATTTGGAAATTGGTTAGAGAAGAGGCCAGCAAAAGAGGCTGAGACGAGGGGCCAGCCTGGTGGCCTAGTGGTTAAGTTCATGGGCTCCACTTCAGTGGCCCAGGGTTCGTAGGTTCAAATCCCAAGTGCAAACCTAGCCCTGCTCGTAAAGCCATGCTGTGGCAGCATCCCACATAAAACAGAGGAAGATTGGCCCATATGTTAGCTCAGTGACAATCTTCCTTGCACAAAAACAGGATATGGGCAACAGATGTTAGCTCAGGGCCAATCTTCCTCAGGCACACAAAAAAAGAGGCTGAGAAGAAGATGTCAAAAAAGAACTGGGATGGGAGCAAAAAAGATAGTATTTCAAGCAAGAAGTGGAACAGTGTAACAAAAGATGCAAAGGTGCTGAGATGTCAAGAAAAATTAGGAGTGAAAAGTGCCCTCTGGATTTGGTGACCTCGGGTAAAAGGCAGTCTCAGAGGTACAGTTAGGTGGAGCAAGGGGGGATGTGACCAGACTGGATGACTGGAGATGCTGAGGTAGAGACGGGTTTGAGAAGATTGACTGTAAAGGACAAGAGAAGCATAAGGTGGCCGCTGAATAGTAACATAAGGTTGAAGGAAAGTTTTTTTTATGGAGTGACTTCAAAAAGTTTAAATTTTGATAGGAAGAAGCAATATAATGGGAGAGGAAATGGTTCAAAGGGACAAAGAATAATCAACATCCTGTCAATCCTTTGTTGCCTTGATGGATTGTTGTTTTTTTTTTAAGCATATGTGTCATCTCTTTGGCTAAATATTAGTTCTTTGGTGACAGGTCATCCTTCTGTTTGGATTCCCATGCTCTCAATCCCCAAATTCACCCCCTGCCACACACACATGCACACACTGTAGACACACCATAGAGACACTCATGTACACACACACACACACACACATTCCTTAGTGGCAATAGTACAAAATTGATACTTCATAAATACTTGCTTCTCACTTGATTTAAAGTGAGAAGTTTAAATTCAAAATCTAAAGTTAAACTTCAAAATTTAAAGATTAGTGACCTAGGAAAGACATTGTCAGTGACTCTGCCAATAGCTTTCTCTTCTGTTGTGAGAGAAAAGGATTAACCATGTTCTCATTCTCTCATTAGCATTCAGCAGCAGTAGATGAATGCTAAGTCCTCACTGAATAATTTAGCTTGAAATGTTTACCTTCTAATGTACAAGTACAACATAACTGAAAAACACCACGGACCAAATCTATTCTCAGAAGCTATCATTTTAGTATATAATTTAACACTTTAAGTGCCAGATGAGACCCTGAGAAATGGAGGACAAAAAGCTTCAAGAAGTTTCAGATTCCTCTCGATGCGCTTTTTCCCATCCTCCCCAGGCCCTCCTTTCCCCGTTTTATACTGGCTACTGAGAGCTTAACTGAAGATTCCTGGGCCACTGTTTTTGCTCTTTATCCTGGTCTCAGACATTGCTGATTAAGAAGTTTTTGTTGTTTGTTTTTTTAACTCTAACTATATTTTTAACACTGTAAGATTTCCTGAGCTAGGACTCACCACCAAGGAGACACTGATAGAGGAGTTACAGTTAGTAGGAAGACCATGAACCCAGCCAATCCAGGTTCAAATCCTGCCTCTGTCATTTAAAAACTCCATCTTGGATGGGCCGGCCCTGTGGCCAAGTGGTTAAAGTTCCACACACTCCACTCGGGTGGCCCAGGTTAGAAAATTTGGATTCTGGGTGCGGACCTACTCCACTCGTTAGCCATGCTGTGGAGGCACCCCACATACAAAAAATAGAGGAAGATTGGCACAGAAGTTAGCTCAGGGCTAATCTCCCACAAGCAAAAAAAGAGGAAGATTGGCCGTAGATGTTAGGGCAAATCTTCCTCACCAAAAACAACAACAACAAAAGATACTCCATCTTGGACAAGACACTTAACTAAGCCTCCATGTCCTTGTTTTAAAGTGAGACTTGTTTCTCTTACTTGGCTACTTAACACTGTCAGGATTAAAAATAAATGCTCTGGGGGCCGGCCCCGTGGCATAGTGATTAAGTTCAGTGTGCTCCGCTTTGGCGGCCCAGGCTTGAAGGTTCGGATCCTGTGTGTGGACATACATCACTTGTCAGTCACGCTGTGGCGGCAACCAACGTACAAAGTACCGGAAGATAGGCACAGATATTAGCTCAGAGTCAACCTTCCTCAGAAAATAAGTAAATAAATAAATGACCTGGCACACTCAATGAATGAATGCATTTTACTGGAGTAACAAAATTTCTTTCATCTCATTCCCGACTTTAGCTTCATCAGAAAAATTATGTGATTTGAGTTCCTTCTTTGTCCTGTATTTCTGGTTTGGGCCAATTTCTGCTGAAACCTGTGATGTGCTGGGGGAAAGTCCTGGACCATTTTTCTTGTTCCTATGTATGGTGATAAATGGAACACATTATTGAGATTCACTGACTATAATTATGGCAACTTTATTGGCAGCTGATTTTATTCTGCTATTTTAGGTTTTAGAAAGTGATGTTTATTAATATTTAACTTTTATTTATGTGCCTACCTAGTGGTGTGTGTTGTACAGATAATGCAAAAATGCCCACTGTCTGGGCTTCAGGAATGGACTCTAAAGTGATGGACAGCTCTATTCATGCCCTTGAGAAGTAAAGGTGGAGAACAGTTGTGTGCTGGCAGGGGGTGCCACTCTCTGACCCGGTGTGCTTTCTATTCCTGTCCTATATACTCCCAGTCTATCTCATGTGCACATTGGAGATTCCAAGAGCTCTATAGGAAAGCATTTGGTCAGCCCGCAGTGCAGTGTGATGGCCTGCAGGGTTTCTTCCAGGCTGCAAACACAGGGGCAGATGTCACGTTAAGTTTCCCCTCCCCCGACCTGTGATTCCTAAGGGACGTTGCTCTATTGGGCTATAGGTTAGGGATCCTGCCAGGACCCTCGAATCAGGCAGTCTCCACCAAACAACTGAACAGAAAGTAGAGGAGACAAGAGTCAGAGTTGAGGACTCTTGGGGACTTACGAGATGGGCCTGACTCCTAAAAGCCCGGCTGTGGACACAGGCTGAGAGCTGTTGAGAGCTTGTCGCCTGGCAACATGACACCAGCTCATAACAGGAGTTGGCGGCTCTTCATTTTCTCAGACTGCAGGTAATTTTTCTAGGAGGAAATTTGGAAAGCGTGTTCTTGTATCTTTCTCTTTTCTGGAGTCTAACATTTGCTCTGCATGTCCATTAGGCAACAGAATTTAGTGCGTTTTCCCCGTATGCAGAGCGATAACTTCTTTGGGGGTTCTGTTCCTTCAGCAGTGTGAGCACAGATACTATATTTAAAACTGAAAGCTCAGGAGTAAGTTGGTGAGCACCACTTAACGCGAAGTAGCGGCAGCGACCGCATACGTTTCTGAAATAAGAAGGCAGATGGAAACCAGCAGCTGTGATCAGAGAGCAGTAAAGACAACGTCTGAAGTTCTTAAAAGAAATATCTTACTCAAGAGCGATGGCACCCTATACTTAGGAAACATTTATAATTCTTAGGTTTCGTTGCCCTGTGACTAAACTGGCTGTCCAAAGCCAGGTTATGAGAACTGCTGTGAAAAATACAAGAAATCGGCTGTGCTCCTCGGACCTCAGAGCTACTCAAAGCGCCGTCCACAGGCCAGCACTCATCTGCAAATAGGCCCCAGTCTGATGGGTACAGAAATTGAAAGTAAGCACTTGACAAATATTTTTAGCAATTCAACAGAGTAATTTTATGCCTGTTGAATCTAATATTTTTTAAAAATCAGGCTTTATATAGAGAGTTTTGTTTTGTTTTGTTTGGTTTGGTTTGGTGAGGAAGACAGGCCCTGAGCTAACATCCCTTGCCAATCTTCCTCTTTTTGCTTGAGGAAGATTGTGGTTGGGCTAACATCCATGCCAATCTTTCCTCTATTTTATATGTGGGACACTGCCACAGCCTGGCTTGATGAGGCATATGTAGGTCAGCACTGGGGATCTGAACCTGCGAACCCCAGGCCACTGAAGTGGAGCACGTGAACTTAAACACTATGCCACTAGGCCAGCCCCAAGCCTTATATTTTTATGTCTTTTTGTTTTATTTTATTATAACTCATTTTTATTGTATTTAAATAAAAGTAGTGGCTCACTATGGATTGGAAATTAAAAACAAACAAGCAAAGAAAAAACTGGCCCTTTGACACAAATAGTTTGAGAGACGCTGTCCTAGACCAGGGGTCACCATGTTTTTTTAATAAAGGTCCAGTTACTGAATATTTTAGGATTTGTGGGCTATACAGTCTCAGTTGCAACTAATAACTCATCTATTGAAGGGTAAAAGCAGCCATAGACAAAATATAAGCAAACGGACATAGTTGTGTTCCAATAAAACTTTATTTACAAAGACAAGCAGTACCCCCTGCTCTAAACCAATGCTCCTCAAACTTTACTGAGCAATCAACTCATGAAGATTTTGATTCAGCACTTGTGGGGTGAGCCCTGAGATGCTGCATTTCTGATAGACTCCCAGATGATGCTGTGCTTCTGGTTCATGGTCTCACTTTGAGTGGCAAGCCTTGGAAAAAGGATTCTGAAGGGGAAGGTCAAATGACAGGATTGGAGTGCACTCTGCCATCTACTAGTGGAGTAGCTGTCGGGGAGGTTGTTATCTTCCAACCTCAGCTTTCACATCTGAAAGAGGGAGATGATAATTCCCATCTATTTAATTTATGTGAAGTTTAAATGAAATTATATATATGAAAATGTTTTATAAAAAATAATGCAAAAAGGTGTAATGTAGATACAAGGTGCTCCATTACCTTTAATTTTCTTCAAACTATTTTGATTTAAACCATGTGAGAATATGTGTGCAGGTTAACCTTATCTACACACTAAGGAAATTTATTTTCATTTGAAGTACCTCAGTCAGAATACACACTCTGTCTGCGGTTAGCATCTGAAAGACCTTTACTATGAGTCCGCACCACAAAGTGACTATGGGAAGCCACTCAAAAACTGCTGTGTAATTATACATTAGAGACTTTGTGAACGCCAGTGTTATAAACCCAGTATTTATTTTGAAAATGAGTGCAGTTTAACAAAAGTCTAAAAAGACCACAGGTACAAAGTACACATAACGAATTCAGCAGTCCAGCAGTCTAACACCTCAGAGCTGAGCTTTATGCTTAGAACACCGTCCAATCGTTTTCTTTACTTAACAGAGCTCAGCTCGGTCCAACAAGAAGTTTAGCTGATAAAGCAGTCAGAACAGTGCTGCATTTTTTCATTGAAGGGATATTTTCTTGCCAGCTTTTATCAAATTCTCCAAAAGGACAAGAACTGGGACTTTAGCAAGCTTACAGAACAGGCTGTACTACTCTTTCGTGTGTCTGTTTGCTAACAAATATTTGCATGAGGGGCAAGAAACGGTGTAAGACTTGCTTTTCCTTGTCTAGTAGTGAGGTTGTGGTGGAAGAGACACATAGCTACATTCACTTCTAATTTCTTAAACGTAACAGTTGTGAATGGCCAAAATGGCTTCAGACAGTTTACCACATAAGATATCATTATTATCTTTACAGCACACTATCCTGCTAAAGATTAAATTTTTTTTTTCTCATCTTCTAAAGGAAGGTATGAGGAAGCCATCTTGGATTTACTGAGAGAAGCTGTCACTCTCCACCGTGGTTGAACGTGAAGGAGAAGAGCATCTTGTGTCACTGAAGATAGTTGGGTTTGGAAGGGCAGGAATAGGGCAAATGGCTCTTTTGTCTACAACAGGGACTTGTAATGTGACCTTTTGTACTTGGCAATTACAGAAAATAACTTTATCCAGAATGAAAAGGGGGGTGGTGGTTCTCCAAGATTGAAAATGGAAAACCAGCAGATCTGAGAAAGAGAGATTCCTTGGAGAAACAGAAATGACAATCAAAGTCCTAAAAATGGAGAACTGCTGAGCCACTTTTGACATAGTGTTTTCAGGGGCAGCAGGAGCCTTGGGCTGTGGCTTTGAGAGGGAACTGAAGGCAAGGAGGCCCTGTAAACATCAGCCTGAAAGGAGGACTGTGGTTGAGGACCGGTTCTCCATCTTTGCTTCCAAGCCTAGATATCTAGGCTCTCTCATGACATACTCACCAAACGCTTCCTTGTATCTGTAGCAGGAGACAAGTCCAAGTAACCTCAACCTTGGAGATGAGATGACCTGTGAAGACTGAACAAAGCATATGGTGTGTTTTAAAACACCTCTAGGCACGTGAATCCTCATGGAGGGAAAGGGAGTCAGAGCTTATAGGCGGATGAACTGTTAGGCTCAACAGCCTCTGGAGACTAGATGGTAACCTCAGAGTCACTGTGTAGGGCCTGAAAGTGAGAGCTAACTGCTGCAAACTTGGGAGCTCCTCTAGGCTAACTCCGTCTCAGAGAATGAGATCCTCCATCCACAATGTCCTGGGAAGAATCGGCATCTCCATATAGTACGGGTTCTCAATAGTGACACCATGTGGCAGTGAGAGGAAAAGCAGCCTTGACTGAAGTCTCCAGTATTCTCTCTAACGTAAAAGTTGGATCGATCCCTTCCTTTCAACTACATCAGCTACGTGGTATTTGATAATTCATGAGGAAAACATAACCTTGAGAACTGAGATGGCTGATAGTAAGGTGGACGGGATCTTACGTTGTTTACTAGAAAATAAAAGATGCGATCATACCGTCCTCCCTCACTCGTGAAAGAGTTCATAGGTTTGTTGTAGGGACCAAATGAAATAACTGATGCAGAAGTTTCTTGAAAAGAACAAAATAAAATAATAACAATGGCCATAAAGTTATCATAGGTAGTACATGTTACAATTATTATAGGCTGGCAATTTGATGTCAGACAAATTAACTGCCCTAGGCAACTGTTGTCCTTGTCTCACTTTGTGCTTTTTAAATTTCCATATCTGGAGGACTCTCATTATGTGGAATGTGTGCCTGCAAAAGATATGTGCAAGTCCTAACCCCCAATACTTGTGAATGTGACTTTATTTGGAAATAGGATCTTGGCAGCTATAATCAAGTGAAGGTGAGGTCATTAGAGTGGGCCCTAGTCCAATATGACTACTGTCGTTATGAGAAGAGGAGAGGAGACACAGACAAAAACACACAGGGGAATGCTGTGTGATGATGGGAGTTATGCTGCTGCAAGCAGAGGAATGTGGCAGCTACCAGGAGATAGAAGAGACAAGGAAAGATCTTCCCCTAGAGGAGTCAGAGGGAGCACAGCTCCGCCAACAACTTGATTTCAGACTTCCGGCCTCCAGAAGTGTGGGAGAATAAATTTCTGTTGCTTTAAGCCACCAAGTTTGTGGTGTTTTGTTAAAGCAGCCCTAGAAAATTAATACAAGGACTAATCAATTAAAAATGGAGAATTTGCTTGTCACTCAGAGAGAACGGTGTAAAGAAAATACAGACAGGGTACTGATAAATGTAAAAAATAAAGACTTTGACCTGTAGCTTGAAGTTAACAAATGAGTTTAATCAAGACTGGAATCTCTTTGGAGAAGGTACAAATGGTAGCTTCTAGGATAGTTAAAGGAGCTCAATAGATGAGATTCCTTCCAGGCCTTTGAGGGGAATGGAGATGGGACATTGCTCAATTTCTGTGTTCCTCAAGACACCCTACTCTTCCCATCTTCCCCTGGCTCCTTTTTTCCTCCTCTCCTCTTCTCTCTCTTCCCTCTTGACCAGTAACCTCGGCAAAACTTTTTCTTTCTTTCCAGTATCTCTAATAGAGTACTGAAGTGAGAAAGCTAGTTAAAAAGTCTTGCTCGCTGAAAGATGGCCAACAACTTCCTAGAAAGCTGTCCTGGGACCCTGCTCACCTTGGGAACCGGCTTTTCCCCTGAAGTGTAAACAAAGTCCCGAGACTCAAGGGATAGCCTGGAACTTCAACTACGAAGCTGAGTCCCGTGTTGTTTCTCAAAGTTAGCTGATGAATATACTAGAGAGTTAGTGTCTTTCCCTGAGGAAGCACCTAGTTCCGAGCGTGGACGCATTGAACAGAAAGGGAGTTGAGTCACAGGGGCGTCTGTGCCCAGCTTGTTCTTCTCAGGAAGGAGATTTGAACCACGTCAATGAAGGAAACATGGAACCTCGTGGAACAACACATAAACCTCTCACCCTGAAACACTCGTCCTCCTCACAAAGCTGCTACTCGGAAGTGAGAGGGGAATCTCTGAGGGAGGGGAAAGCTGAGACACCCAGTCCTGAGGCCTGAGATGGAAACACCAGCAAAGGAATCTTTGGAATTAGTTTCCTCGCACCACAAAGCCAGTGTAACTTGGACTTTTTGTTTTCATTCCTCGAAAATGGTGACTTTTGAAGAGTCTGAGCAATAAGAAATGAGAGGAGGAAGAACTTAGTGGTGACTAACAGGTTATTCAACTCCTCTGTCTTAACAACCAAAATAAAATTATAATAATGCCTGAATTGCTCACTAATCCATGTCTTTTCAGTGATTAATTAGAACAGATTCTGGCTGTGCAATTAAAATTGTAAAATGGGCATATTCTTATTTGGGGTCCTGGTGTTGTGAACTGACCTGAGCCAATTTGGCGATTCACAATTGTGAGATTTCAGAAGAGCCTAACCCTGGAGGTGGGAAAGTCTCTAGGTCTCCTGTTACGTGCCAGGAGGAACGTTAAATCAAAGCAAGTGCCAGAACAAATATGCCACAATGCAAACATTTATAAGCAAGCAGACCCCCAAACATTAACTATGCTGTCCTTCCCACTCCAGGGGAGGGCTCGTTCTCAGTCCTACACACACTCAAGCATTTTGTATGAAACGTTCATTCGGGACAGATGCGATACTATTCTAGAAGCAGGAGTCAGCTAGCCTTTTAGTCCGAATTCAGGTCCAGGATCCTTGGGTGAGAACTGCAGTATCCTTAAGTGATGAGATCCAGCACTAAATTGAAATCCTTAATCCCAGGGGTTCGTATCGTCTTTGTAAGGCAGGCGCTTGTACAATATTTCTAGCCATTTCACAAATCTTAGATACCTCTCATTTTACCAATTCAAACTATTCCTGATATCCTTTATCCAATTAAGAACTTCTCTGGTGAAGACTTGGCTATGGAGTGTCAGAAGTTTTAGAAGCTGCATCTCTGGAATGTGGTTAGAGCTTTTCAGATATTAACAAACCATCCTTGAAGTATTTATATCTAACTAGAGTACTTAAAATGTTTGCTAACTTATCCCACCCCCATCCCCAAGGTGTACATAACTTGTATAGACATACATCACAATGTTGAAATATTTTAAAGTACGTTCAGATCCATTTAACATCTAGCTTCCTTGTTCCATCCAGAGGCTCACTTTCCTCTGAGTTATTAAAACTCACTCTCAAATTTTTACTCACATAAAAGAATAAATAATAGTAACTTTGAATATGTGCATGGAAGAGGAGACAGAAATAGAAAGCTTTTTTATTTTAAAAATAGAATTGATCCTACCAAGTCAGCTCTTTTATGTCGTTTAGCAGCCTGCCCTGCCACCCTCAGTCAGTTAATCAGCTATTTGTACACTATCCTGCCAAATGGGGAAGAGAAACATGTATTGCCCTAACACATCTCTCTTTAAGTTTGATGCTGATGTTTAAAAAGAATGGTAAACGACAAAACTAAGACATCACAGTGGTGGCCACTGCTGTTATCTCACCAGGTAATATTTACCGTGTTGAACTCACTGAAGACCAGAGGCTGGCTCTTAGCCTAAGAGGCTCAGAATCTGAGTTTGATGGTGTTCTGGGATTGATTGGGTTTAGGGACACCCACGTATGCTAATTAAGCAACCAAGTGACTGATACATAGACCAGAAATGTTTAATTTACAAAGAAAAATCCACCTGCCAAGAGGACCTTGTACTAACATTAATTTGATCAGTGTTTCCTCTCCCTGTGGGCAAGCCACTGGAGAAAGCAGATGATCAAGGTTCCAGTTGAACAAGGAATCTGCCAAGCTGATGGGTCTCCGTTATATACCCACCAATGGGACAATTTCCTCATGTTGCTCCAACAAGTAACTTCACATCCCATCCCTATGGAGCTTGGATGAAAACTGACCACCTTTGTCTCTGGAAATATTTTTTTATGCTTTCTTGGCTAAGACACCTTCTTTGTACAAAACTCATCCCTTCTTTAGAAATGAGAGCATCTTCACTGGTTAAAATAAAGTCTGATGGGTCTTGGAGCCCAGTGACTTTGCATATCTGTTTTGAGCCATTAGTCGATTTTGAGATTCAACTCGCATGGCAACTTTATTTGTGACAGAATGAGTTATTGTGGGCACCTCTTGTTGCTCCATGTACCACTAATAGTGATTATTCTTCTAATCAGCACAAGAGAAAAGCACAAATATCTTATGATATTGGGAGTGAAATTTTAGAAGAATGGAGTAAGAATAGAGACTTGTAGGCATCAGTAACTATCTGTTGAATTAATAAGTGAGTGAATGCTGCTCATACTAGTTCTACAAAGAGCTTTTTAATAAATGGTGAAAGAAAGGCAGGGTGTCTTCAGATAACCAGGATAACCTGGCAGCGCCATCAAAGGCTTGGAGCCAATGCACTCAGTCCACAGCTGCCATTCCAGGTGGGTTTCCTTGCTGTCAGAGGGGAGGAATCACACCCAACAACTGAGTACGAAATAACCAGTAAGTCCTGGGCAAGGATCTGGGGAACCTAAAAGCACAGAAAATGTTTCCTGAGTCCTGTCCTGCATGAAGAAATGCTTCTCCCCTCTCCCGTCTTCCTCTGCACTCCAGCACTAAGCTCCTCGCTTTGTTCTCTCTCAACAGGAGCAGATAAAACAGCAACCCTAGTTAATGAAGGAGAGACATCATGACAGCAGATGAAAGGGGGAGAAAGTATAGTGGAAAGAGCTTTGAAAATTAATTAGAAAAGAAGGGTAAATAGTTTTGTTAAATCCCAGAGCTTTAAGTAACCTACTTTTGAAGATCATGTGTGCATTTAAAAAAACCTCTGTTAAAGGAGTTTTATTCCACTGATTATTTGCTTACTGTTTGAAATATGATATCCTCTTTAGAGCTTTCAGCGTACTTGAAAACTTCACTGTGTTTTCAGATGCATTATAATACCATGTTCTGCTTTGCTTTACTTTGTTTCAAGAAAAAACTGTAATAAAAAAGGAAGAAATCATTTTTTATTGTTTTTGTTTTTGTACCGTGTTTTGTTTGTTTTAGTATGCTCTTTCTTCTTTATCAAGATAACACTTGCCCAAGATAAAAGTTATTTTTTAATAACAAAGAGCTACCCGGGGTTACCTGGAGTTACACGTTAATAACAAATATTGAAATGTTATAAAAATTAACATGATCTAGAGAAAGTAACAGTGCTGGCTTTCTCTGTAATTCAAATTAAGCCAGTGGGATGTTTTTAAATGCATGTCTTATCATTGCTGTCTTTGCTTTAAAGGCTTCAGTTGCTACCAGGTGGTTCCAAATCAAAATCACTTTCCTGCTTGACTTTCCAGCCTCACCTTTCTTCATTCCTCACCCCTGCTCCCTTTCTGCGTTCAAGCTTTGCTCAACACTTGCAGCCTCATGAATGTGCCATGCTTTTTCTCCTCTTCTAGTCCATGCGCCTGTTCCCTTCACCTACGATGTTAGTTCCTTATCATGCTATGTCCTCGCCGCCTCGTTAAACGTTACCTGTCTTTCAACCCTTACAAGACTCTACCAACCACAGTGCTATCACTGATCACATAGGACTGAAATCGTCTGTAGACTCCTTCCTCCAGAAATACTTGCTGAATGAAATAAAAGGATGAATGAATAAATGAGCACTTCATTAATCCTATTTTTTTAGTGGATAGGGCTAAGAGTTTCTTCTCACCCCTTCACATTTCACAAACTGCAGTCTTGCAGTCCATGTTTTTGGCACCAGTAATTTCCTTATAAGTTTTTAGAATGTTGCTGCTCTGCAAATATCATTACATATAATTGTGGTCTTAAATTTGGGGGGGTCTTAACTTTCTTTTTTGTAAATGTAGCTTTTAAGCATTCATTCACCAACTGTTTAATAAAGCTCTTAAGTAGCCCAAGGATTCAGTGGTGACTTTTCAGAACTATATTTAGAGAACGTCTTCTTCCCAGAGTCCCTTTCTTTTTTTCCTATTATTCTTTATTTCAAGTTACTCTATACTGGGACTCTTCCAATACATCAAAAAATCTAAGAAAGAGAAAAAAAATTGTATCTATTAATTTCACTACTTATTTTTTCTGGTAAAACATATTCTAAGAGAATCCACCATATAGCTTTGAGGAGAGGTGTAGTCGGTGGAGAGAGAGTATATGAGAAAGAGATCATTTGTAGTTTGTAAACGTCCACCACTAAAAAAATTTAAATGTGTTGAATGAACTCATTTTTTTTGGCTAGTTACCCTATATTTTGAAATCTGACTCTTGCTCTACATGTTTAAAAATATCATCAGATTTGCTTGGCTTTTAAAACAAAAATAGTAGATGCAAACCATTTTTTTATAATAACTTAAAATTATGCCTTATGTTTTTTATAATAACTTACCGTTTCTTATAATAAAAAATTATTGCATATGTATACATAAAGTATAATCTTATTGCATAAAGTGTATATATACATGTACATACATGTGTGTGTGTACATAGTAATCTGTGCCATCTAAAAACTGATTCAAAAGTAAGTTACTATATGTCTTCAGTTCTAAGATCCTATTTTGGATGGAGAGGGAAAAATACTACCCCATTTAATGAATACGCTCATTGCAGGACATACCCCAGTGTCGGAACGTTAAAAGCATATAAATGAGAATTTTGAAATCAAAGAAATACCATGTATTTTCTCGCTTTGTCAGAAATCAAGCTTGATTTTGTGGTTCTTGCTACACAAGTATATTCTACATTTTTCTATTAGAGAATTTCAGCTGGCTTCTTAGTATGACTAAAGGAAAGGCTTGATTTCTCTACGATGAAGAAATGGCAGTACTGCAAATGACTCTTGTCAAAGTTTGCTGGTTTTCTGTCTGCACATGTGCAGGCCACACTGCCTCTTGGCTGAGCACTTTGGTATTGATATTTTGCTGCCAGTCCATCATTTGACTGTGGTGTGTTTCCTTTTATCTCTCATTTCATTCAGAGGTGTGTCAAAGCCCAGGCAGAATCCCAGAATGGAACAAAAGAAATATTTGGGGCTCAGTGTTATTATTTAAGTATCATGTTGACCTAAACTTTGGCTTGTTCTCATTCCTGCCATTTATTGTATGTAGTGATCAGTTAATCAGATTAGGGTTTTATCATCACGGTGGTCCAGTGTTTTTCAAAATGTGGGCTGAGGATCCCCTGCACCAGAATCTGCAGGGTGCTGGCAGAAATGGTAATTCTGGGATCCCACCTTCTACCTCCTGTGCTTGAATATCGAAGGCTGGGCTCTGGA